CCAAGGGGCCCCGACGCGGTGCGCCTGGCCCAGCTGCCCGAAGGCCCCGTGCCAGAGGTCCCGCAACTCGGCCCAAGTAAAACGCACATTCGCGGCCCTCGTGCGCCTGGCCCAAAGTTCCTTAGCCCGTCGGATCGCCGGCGCGACGAGGGCCCCACCATGAGGGATCTCCTTCGAGCCGGCTGAGAATGGTCAAACTGCGGCCTCCTACAGCAGGCTTCATGGCGGCGGCGCGCGTGCGCCTGTGCTCGAGGAGCTCCCCGTCACTAACTCCATGGGCATCGGCTCCGTAAGTCGCCCCTGCAAGAGGTCCTGTGGCTCATGATTCACCCCCTTTGTCCTGGAACCCCTCTCTGACAGGCCAGTCTGCCAGCTCGACGCGTCGCCTTGCGCAGGCGGGCCTTCGCGTTGCCGTTGCGCCCGCGCGCTCGCCTAGCTCCGACAGCGGCGTCGCCGACCCCGAGGTTGACGATGGGCTCCAGGTGAACTCCTCCGAGCTCCCCCATACATTCGGGATTTGTCTGGGGATGTCCTTGGACGAAGAAGCCAGCCCGACCTTGTCCATCGCAACCTTCGCCTGCAAAACGGTTTCGATGATCCCCCGAAGCCTTTCAGTAGCTTCGGCGATGCCCCTGGCGATTTGACGGGCCCCCCCCCCCGCGGCGTTCAAACCCACGCCATCGATGCGCGCGTCGAAGGTGAGCCCCCTAGGAAGCCCGAGGTCGTCGGAGCCACGAGGCGCAAACATGCGGACCATCGCGGTAGCGAAGCTACAGCCAGCGATAATCCCAGTGCGAGCATAAATCAGGGCAGCAACAACGCCAGCCAGGGTCAAGGAACGAGCCGACCTGCAGCCAGCGAGACACAAGGAGAGCGAGGAGGTCGAGCGGGTTGCGCTCGCAATGCTTCACGAAGCCCCGCAGTCGGGCGCAGGCGTGGCCTGCCTGGGATCGCGACCGCTCCGATCGCGCAGCCTGGCGCCAAACCGCATCACAGGCCGATGTGTACTGCCCCGCCGCCCAATAGCTCCCCTGGTTGATGGCCCGCCAAGCTGCGGCGTACTCCCTCCTGCATTTCCCCCTACATGCGAGAAACAAAAAAAAACGGGGAACGACCCCTATGGGCCTGGGGCCTGAGGTAGGCTTCGGCAGGAGAGCAATAATGGCCGCTTGGAGCTGCATGGGCAACGCGCCCGTCTTCTCCGTCAGAATAAAACCGCGAAGGCACGCGCAGGGCTCCGCCCGAAAGAGCCGAGAAATGCCGAATGTGAAAACCGTCCAAGCCGACCGCGGACCCATGGGCGAACGTCTTAGGGTATCTTCTAATGGCTTCGATTGGGAGAGGAGTGAGGGGGGTGTTGTTCTTCCCTGCCTGGCGAGCTGGAACGGGAAGTGCCTCCTACAGTTCGCGGAACCTGCTGGCCTCGACGGCCGAGGGCGACTGCGGGTCGGACACCGCGCGCCCGTCCGAGCTCAGAGTAGCGCTGGACTTCCATCCTTGAGGGCCCTCGATGCAAGAGCGAGCCCTCCTTCCTCCTTGGCCAACGTTTTCAGCGAGCTAGTCGGCCCAGTCCTTCCGAGCCTGGCGGGCGAAAAAAACCGCGCGCTGAGCGGCAACATCGGAAACTTTTCGTTGAGCTGAGAAAACTAATCCTGCATGCGCTCCAAAGCCTCCTCCGAACCAAAAGGATTCCAGCGGAAATCGTCGGCCAGGCCCCGAGCTTCCGCAAACGCATCTTCCATTCCAAGAAAAGGGTCGCTGGGCTTGTGCAATTCAGGAGGGGGGGGGGGGGGGGCAACGCGCGCGCCATTTCCTGAGCCCGCTACCAACACCGCCTTGGGCACAAGCACAGACGCGCTTCACGGTTGAAGCCAACCGTCTACAGTCGCGAAATTGGGGGCACCTAGCGCAGCCATGGTCTTTGCCCAGGATCGGCCACCAGCGGGCGCTAGGCCCCTTGCCACCCATGCCCCAGACAGTAAGTTTAACTCCCAAAGTCCCGGCTAGTTCGCGCTCCGCAAGACCAGCCCTATGACGCGTGGGCTTCCTTGAAGAGCTCGGCAATCGTCGCTCGGTCGCCGCTGCTCTCGGCCCGCAAATAAAAGTGCGCTGAGCTGCGCCTCGACCCCGGAGAAATCCACGGGCTCTGGTCGAGGGCCGAACGACGCAGCAGTAGGGGGGGCTGGAGGGCACCGAAAAGTAAAATAGCGTAGCTTCGCCAAGCCAGCGAAACAAACTGATCTGCGCGGGCGCGCGGGGAAAGAAGCCAGCCTCGTCGTCGTCGATCGTCTGAACTTCCGAAGCGACCTCCATCAGTCCCGAGGGTGCCAAGAAGTACTCACGCGACTTGCCAGACCGGGCACGGCAAGTGCGCCCAGCTGGTTCAACCACGTGGCCCACCGGAGCCCCCAACAAACTTCGATTCCGCGAGATTGTCCGGCCCCATGTTCCAGTCGCCGCCCACCGCAATGCTTTCCCGCGCGTTGGCCCCCCAGCCCCCACTGCCGACATAATATCGGGTTAACATTTGACAGGCCCTCGGAATCCCGAAGATATGAAGAGCAAGCCTGGGGGGCGACTCCGCCTGGCGCATGGGCTGCGGCCGAGATCGCTCGGCGGGGGGCGATCTCGTGGCCCGAGGGAGGGGGGTGGAGGCCCGCAGAGGACCGACGCACAATGAAAACTCCAGCCGGATGGCCACCTCCTGGCCCAGCGTTCCCGGAATCCAGAGGCTCGTGAAGCCCAGGCTGAGGGGGGGGGGGGGGGAAAAAACGAGGCCCTGTCCAACGCCAACGCTTCGGAGGTGGGGAGTTTATGCTCCTGGATGAGAATGACTTCTGCCGAAACGCTCGGCAACCAATCTTTCACCGACCCCCGAGAGTTGCCGTTGACTGACGCGACACGAAGGCGAAGGAAGCGATTCGGCCTCTGGGGGCGGTGGCGGGGCGAAAGGCCCCTGCAACTTGACGTTAGAGAAGGCGCCTGCCATCCTGCCGCGAAGGGGGGCATGCCGCGAGGGCGCGTTGGCCCCGATGGGGGGGGGGGGGGCGGGGGGGGGGTGGGGGGGGGGGGGGGCGGGGCGGGGCGGCCCGAGGTGCTCGCCGAGCTCCTCCCCTGACGCCCCCCCGTGGCAGACGGGTCCCGCCCGCGTTGCCAGGCAGGCAGCGGCGCGACTCCTGCTCCTCGCGCCGACAGCAACCCCCGAACGGGGGCCCGCGGCACCCGGAGGGCCCACGGGCCTCACGACTGCCACTTCCTGCACGACGCGAGAGAGGGCGAGGCTCCTCGCTCCTCTGCGCGCCCAACTGAAAACAAGAAGCTGCGGCTCACTGCGAAATCGTGGACGCCTCCCCCCTCAGGCCGTTGCGCCTTCGGGGGGCGGGGGGGGGGGCCTGATTGCTGTGGCCTTCGTCGCCTGCGCGTCCGTCAGGCGCCTTCTCAGCCTTCTCTGGCGGCTGGGCGCGCTGGGCCTCTCGAACAGCCTGTTCGCGGACCCTGCTGGGCGAGGTCGTGGCGAGGGCGGGCTCAGGCGAGCCGCCGCTCCTCCAGCCGCAGAGCTCGCTGCCGCTGTGGAGGGGGCTCCGCCCCAATCGCCGCCAGTGGAGACCTCGCCCGAGGGGCCGCGGCGCCGCCTCCCCGCCATCCGCTGGAGGTAGCTCTCGTGCTCCTTCTTGACGACGTTGGCGCGCTCGATGGCCTGGGCGAAAAGGGCCTGCGCGGGCTTGCCGACGTGTTCCTTGAAATCAGCCCGCCGGCGTTCGACTTCGGCCAGGTCCGCTTCGTCAATGCCATCGATGTCCACCGAGAATAAGCCTCCGTCGTCAGTCGTGATATTGGCGACCTTGCCGTCGACGAGGTCCTGCAATGACAGTACTGGGCCATTGTCAGCGAGCGCCTCCATGACTTCAGGGACCACTGCTGTATGGAACTTGGCAACCAACGGACGATGTTCCTCCACCATGGCTTGGCTCTGCTTGAACATGTCGTGAATGAGAACTTCCTGGGCCCGCATTCCTTCCTGCCATCTCGCGAGCTTCGCCAGTTCATGCTCCAAGCGCTGATCCAGCTTCTTGATGCGGTGGTGGGGGTCGGAGACCGGGTCCTGGAGCGCATTGGGGGGAGGTCTCGCCGCCTCCCACAGCTGATTCAGCTTGGTCTGATAGCGGACCGCGGCCTCCTCGTCGCCAGTGCGCTTGGAAAAGGGGCGACCAGCATCTGCAACTCCTCGGCGTCGAGGGGGCCGTCGGTCGCCGCTGCGGGCGCCCCAGGCCCAGGCGAGCACGCTGGAACCTGTGGCCCAGGAGGGAGTACGGTCCACTCTCCATGTGGGTCATACCCTGGAGCGCGAGGAACGCCCTGCCGATGAGCCCCCACACCACCAGGAGCGCGAGGATCGCCAGTGGAGGGCGTTTGGCGGGCGGCTCGGCAGCGCTTGCAATACCAATGCCATACTCGTCCTGCCGCACCCACATGAGACACACTTCCTCCGATCGCCGCTTTGCGTCTGGTCGTGCTTGGCGGTCTTGTCCTGGCCCTGCCAGGAGTATGTGTTGTCATAGTATTGTCCCCAGCTGGTTGCTGCTGCGCCATGAAGCGCCCGTGGAGCGCCAGGGCGGGGAGCTGCCGCCGCCGCTGCCAACACCGCCATGGGACAAGGGAGCTGTTGGGAGAGAGAGAGAGAGAGAGAGAGAGAGAGAGAGAGAAAAACAACATCAAACAACATAACTGATATCGAAGCCAACACTTTGACCCGCGGATACCTTGCCGTTCTGAAGAGAAGTATCCGCGAGCGCAACACCTTGAGCCAAAATAGTTACGGACGGGGGAGGAGGAGAAGGAGGAGGAGGAGGAGGAGGAGGAGAGGAGGAGGAGGAAACGGATGAGGAGGAGAAGAAAAAGGAGGAGGACGAGGACGGACGATGACAGCAGTTCCCGCCGAGCGACCTCCGCTCAAGCCTCGCAGAGACGCGACGCCGTTCCTGGTGAGCTGAGCCCTGGGCTGTGCGAGCTCTCGTCGTCCCGGTGGACTTCGGGGGGCGGGAGAGCCAGAGAGCCGTCGAAGGCGTTTCCCGGCAATCGCGCCCCAGAGCCCCTCTCTCTCTCGAGGAAGAACCAGCGGCATGAACGTAAACAGTCGGAGCTCCGCGCGGACTTCTTGGATCCGCGCTGCACCCCCTGCCTCCCTGGCGCGCGCAGCGCGCCTGGGGCGGCGCCACAGGGGCCGCCAGGGGAGGGGCATCGCGGATCCAACAAATCCGCGCGGAGTTCAGGAAATATACGTGTATGCCGCCATGTCTTCTTCGAGTCCCTCCCCAAACTCCTCCTGTAGAGGCCTTCCAGGTGGGGTCGGAATAGATGATATCGGAGAATCTCGCAGCATCGTCCATGCATCGGCGACGCCAGTGTGGATAACATCGGGTTGCACATCGGACCGCATCGCCGATGCATCGGCGATGCGGCGCGATCTTCCGACCTCATCTTTGAGCAGGGACCGACCGTCATCGCATTCTGACACTATAGGCCTAACGAGATGTTCTCTGAACCAACACATGTTTTCATAACAAAACAATATTCTAAACCAGTCTCAGCTAGAACTGTTCTGAGAGCACGTCGTGCAAACCACAAGAAAAAAGGTTCTTGGAACATTCCTTGGTGGGCTTGGAGACAATCCAGGACGCCCCACCACTGCTTGCCATCTACCCTGACCCGATCTGGAACGCGTGGCCCCTGCAGACCGTGCAGACCGTCCCGACCCTCGCCACCAGGACAACACCCGCGCTCCCCTGATGCACGCCTGACCAGGCCCGCCCGGGAAGCTCGGGGCGGCCCCGCCCGGCTCCCCCCGCGGGAGCGGGCGCTTTCTTTCTTCGGGGACTCCGCCCTCGTGGCGTTTCCGCGGCGCGGGCCCCAGAAGTTCCTTCGCCATCCTCGCCATCCTCCTCCTCCTCCTCCTCCTCTCCTCCTCCTCCTCTCCTCCTCCCCTCCTCCTCCTTCTCCTCCTCCACTCCTCCTCCTCCTCCTCCTCCTCCTCCTCCTCTCCTCCTTCCTTCCTCCTTCCTCCTCCTCCTCCTCCTCCCTCCTCCTCCTTCCTCCTCCTCCTCCTCCTCCTCCTCCTCTCTTCCTCCCAAAGCTCCGCCCTGGTGGGGCGTCTTCGCGGGCCGGGCCCCCCAGAGAACCCCGCCCCCCCCCCCCCCCCCCCCCCCGGGGCCCGGATTGCCATCCTCTGCCGCTGGCGACGCTGGCAGAGGTTGCCAAGCCTTTTCATTATCCTCCTCCTCCTCCTCCTCCTCCTCCTCCTCCTCGTCCTCGTCCTTTCCTCCTCCTCCTCCTCTCCTCCTCCTCCTGCGCCTCCTCCTCCTCCTCCTCCTCCTTCTCCTCCTCCTCCTCCGCCTCCTCCGCCTCCTCCTCCTCCTCCCAGACCTCCTCGCGCTGTGAAAAACATGATACCCGAGAAAAACCGAATCATCATGAATTTAGAGCTGTAGGGCAATAGGGCTATAGGGCTATTAAGCTATAGGGCTATAGAGCCATAGGGCTATAGGGCTAGGTCTGTAAGGCTATAAGGCTATAGGGCTATAGGGCTATAGGGCTCTATGTGGGCTACAGGGCTATAGGGCTGTAGGGCTATAGGGCTATAGGGCGATAGAGCACCTGGGCAACCTGGCACCCGGGCACCCCCAAGCACCTCCGCGGGCACCTCCGGGCATCCCAGGGCACCCGGGCCGGCCACCGAAATGGGCGGCCCAACTCACCTTACCATATGAATCCACTAGGACCCCTACAGAGGCAAGCTCTGATTGGGGAATCACGACGGGAGGTGTTTCGCTATGTTCGGCCTAGGGGCCCTTACCGGGCCTCGGGAACGTTCAAAGCGACTCTACGGTGGAAAGACTTTCCTGGGGAAGGGGTCCAGACCTCTGGGGGTCGACGTTGTGAAAAATCATGACGTCGGGGGTCTGGGTCCTGACGACCGCTTTTTCAGGACGGGTCTTGACTGCCACCCCTGACATGCGACGGCCTGCTTTGTTCAATGCGGGGTCCCTGAAGTTCCGACCCTTTCCCCGGGACCAGTTTTCCATCCTGAATCGTTTTCTGACGGTCCGAAACCTGGCGAGGGCCCCCAAGGGCCAAAAATAGCTAAAAACCTCCCGTCCTAATTTTCTACGACGCGATCATGTCTGGGGAGGTTGGCCAGGCCTCTGATTAGTGACGACCTTTTTTTCTGGACGGGCTTCGACTGCCACTTCCCCAGACCCCCCAACGTCGTGATTTTTCCATCGCGTCGACTCTCAAAGGTCTCGGCCCATTCCCCTAGGCCGGCTGTCATCCTGGATCTTTGTTTGACGGCCCCGAAGGCCGTCAAAAGCCTCCAGAGGCCGAGAATACGGAACCACCTCCAAACGTTTCTTTCATTGCCCGAAGGGTGGTCGGGCCCCCCCCGTGGAGGGTGGGCCACTCCCCCCCGTGCCTCTCATCCTCTGCTGGTCGGCCGCTCCCGGGGCCCGTGCCAGGCTCCAAACGTGCGCCTGCAGGTGCGAATCCGGGACAGTCATGCAGCTCGTGCGCCGTCGGCACGCACAGAGGTTTCTGACACCGCGTCGATCAGAAAAGTGTCGAAAGAATGTCGAACGAGTGTCGCCTCAGAGGGCCCGACACGTGAAAACCCTAAAGTTTCGGTATTCTCTTGGTGCTCGAACTTCTTTCTGGTGCTCCAGGCTAAAACAGGTTGGAACATTATAAGTCGATCGATCGCGGCCCCGATCGTTCAAGGTTGAATCCCGTCAGGTCCAGTGGCGCCGCCGAGTCCCTCGGCGCTTCCCCGAACAGCCGACGTCCTGATTTTTTGTACCTGGAAGTGCCTTTCCTCGGGACCGGTTTTTCACCCCATGTCGTTTTTGTCACGGCCCCGGGGCCCGGCGAGGGCCTCCAATTCCGAAAACGTCGAAAACCCTCCGTCCTGGTTTTGTTTTACGACGCGAGCATGCCTGGGTCCAGGTCGCAATAGTAAGGGTTCCAGGCCTGCGCCGACGTCGCCGATGCGATCCATCGCGGCAAGAGCCTACCGTATCCGTGTCCGCGGCCAGGGGAGCCGACGTCTGGGGGGCGGAGGCCGCGGACTTAACTCCTCCTCCTCCTCCTCCTCCTCCTCCTCCTCCTCCTCCTCCTCCTCCTCCGCCTCCTCCTACTCCTAGTCCTCTTCCTCCTCCTCCTCCTCCTCCTCCTCCTCCTCCTCCTGCTCCTCCTCCTCCTCCTCCTCCTCCTCCTCCTGCTCCTCCTCCTCCTCCTCCTCCTCCTCCTCCTCCTCCTCCTCCCTCCTCCTTCCCTCCTCACTCCTTCCTACTTCCCCCCTTTCCTCCCTCATCCTTACCTCCTTTCCTCCTCCCCCTCCTCCTCCTCCTCAGCCTCCCCCGCCTCCTCCTCGTCCTACTCCTCCTCCTCCTCCCTCCTCCCCTCCTCCTCCTCCTCCTCCTCCTCCTCCTCCCTCTTTCGCATCCTCCTCTCCTCCTCCTTCCTCCTCCTTCCCTCCTCCTCCTCCTCCTCTCCTCCTTTCTCCACATTCCAGCTCCCCCCCCTCCTCTTTCCTCCTCCTCCTCCTCCTCCTCTTCCTCCTCCTCCTCCTCCCATCCCCCCCTCCTCATCCTCCTCCCTCCTCCTCCTCCTCCTCCTCCTCCCCCTCCTCCTCCTTCTCCTCCTCCTCCTTCCTTCGCCTCCCTCCTCCTCCCTCTCCTCTCCCTCCTCCTCCCCTCACCTCCCCACCCGCCTCCTCCTCCTCCTCCTCCTCCTCCTCCTCTCCTCCTCCTCCTCCTCCTCCTGCCTCCTCCTTTTCTCCTCCTCCTCCTCCTCCTCTCCTCCTGCTCCTCCTGCCTCCTCCTCCTCCCCTCCTCCTCACTCCTCCTCCTCCTCTTCCTCCTCCTCCTCCCCCTCCTCCTCCCTCCTACCCCCTCCTCCTCCTCTCCTTCCTCCTCTCCTCTCCTCTCCCCTCCTCTCCTACCTTTCGCCCTCCTCCTCTCTCCTCCTCCTCCTCCTCTTCCTCCTCCTCCTCCTATTCCTCCTCCCTCCTCCTCTCCTCCTCCTTCCTCCTCTCATCCTCCCCTCCTTCTCCATCTCCTCCTTCACTTCCTCCTCCTCCTCCTCTCCTCCTTCACATCCTCCTCCTCCTCCTCCTCCTCCTCTCCTCCCCTTCCTCCTCCTCTTCCTCCCCCTCCTCCTCCGCCTCCTCCTCCTCCTTCTCCTCCCCCTCTTCCTTTAAGGAAAACATGGGAACATCAGCAGGAGCAGGAGGGGCAGGAGCAGGAGGAAGGAGGAGACCCGATCCCATCTGGCAGGTCATCCGAGGCGCCCACATCGCTAGATGCCCTATCGCCGCGCCAGAGCCCGCGCCCTGGCATCCCGTCGGCAAATGAGGCGGAACCGACCTGCAGCAAACCGAATGGCTCGCGATGTGCTTTGGGCCCCTTCGGACCTGAGCTTGTTAAACGTGTTTAACAGAACGTCGTGTGCTATGGCAATGGAGACGATTTCATCGCACGAGAGAGGCATAGAAAAAAGAAAGAGCCCAGCAAACACCTCCGCCCCCCCACCATGGTGGGAGCCTAGGCAGATTGGCACGCAGCACTCCGAGAAGAGCAGGACAGACAAGGTAATGCACGATCTGGTCACCAGCAATACATTGACATCCAAGCCTGCATCCTAGCGTGGCCTGGCGGTATCTCCGAGAGGTATTCCAAGCGTTGCATATACTGCGCAGCAGACTGAGTTGAACAAAGGGATCAATGTGCTGGCCGACCACTTTTAGCCGAGAGAAACACAGTTGGGCTTCAGGAGCCCCGACTTGGCAAGCTTCAGGGAACCTCGAGGCCCAATACTTGAGACGTCTCAGGATAAGCTCTGGAAAGGGACCAGGGGTTGATGTGCGAACACAAGCTCGGTCATTTTCTTCTGAAGCCCGTGCTCGAAGACGGTGGCGGCGGACGGGATTCGGGATAACTCACGATAGTTCTGATTCATCATTACAACGAAAGACTTG